TATTGATACAAACTTGAGATTAATTTTGCTGTTTCCAATATTCTAGGTATTGTATTTTTTCAGGTTATTTAGCTATGCAATACAAATGTGTAGTCCTTGAAAGTTAATACTAAATGTATAAGACAATTAGGGTTGGTTGTGGTGGTGCACGCTGCCAATATGATTTGCTGAAGGAGGATCACGAGTTCAAGCCCAGACTGGGCTACACATTTGGCCCGGCAGTGGTGGTGCACACCTTTTTTTCCCAGCACTCAGGAGGCAGAGGCAGGTGGATCTCTGTGGGTTCAAGGCCAGCCAGGTCTGCAGAGCTAGTGCCAGGATGGGCTCCAAAGCTACACAGAGAATCTCTGTCTCAATAAACAAAAACATAAACAAAAATAAGACAATTAGGAAATGTAATTTAGTAATTAGTCAACTATAACAATCAAACTTGTAGTTACTTTAGGTATGTTTTCAATGTCAAACTAATATAATAGAAAGACAGGTCATCTTCAAACATTCCAGAGATCAACAGAATATGGCATTTATCATATGTTAATAACATGAGTTCTTTTTTTTTATGACAATGAGATATGTCTGCTCCTGGCAGCACCAATTTATGCCAGAAAAGATGATGGGCATTGCAGAAACTCCACATGGAGTGGGAGCTCTTTGTAGTAAAGTTAAGCCACTGGGCAAGAAAGTGCCCTTTCCTCAACTACTGGCAGTTTGTTGTTAAAAGTGGACATACAGGACACCAAAAATAGTGGCTGCAAACCTTTCCAAGACAAGGTGGTCCAGTCCTTCAGGTTATCCTGATTCACATAATGTCTGTTGGATATGATAGGCATATTGGCTGAAGATGGATGCCCAACATTTCATAGCAAACTTGGGTGACTCTCCAGGCAGTCAGCTGTTTCTGTCATTTCTCACATTCTTTGGAAGTTACTTGCTCAAACTTCCTGTTTACTCAGTTAATATTGTTTCCTTCTTGGGTCTCTGAGAGAGTTGAAGACTAACTAGTACAGTTATAGCTTCCCCTGTTTACCAGAATCAGTAAAGACACTCACTATAGATGTATTAAGTGTGTTAGGTTTAAAAGATATTAAAAGATAACTTGATATTCATATTAGAATAGAAAGTAAATTAGGTACAACACTTTGAACTCATCAAGAAAGAATAGATGATGGAATATTTTCTAAAAATTTGTCATATGCTTAATGAATAGACATTGTCTCATTGCCATGTCTTATATAGTTTTTTATTATTGAACATAGTTTTTCTCATATTAGTTATAACATTTTTAATTTTTAGACAAAAATAGGGGGATATGTGGTGATATCTTTCTTGAACAACAAAAGCCTATCTGGGTGTGAGAGAATGCAGCTTGCCACCAGCTAAACATAGACTTCTGGAGGTCTGTACAGACAGGAAGGAAGTGATGTAGCTGGGCAGAAACTGCCACTAGCTAACCATAGAGGTCTGGAGATCTGTACAGACAGGCAGCAAATGACAGCTGGGCAGTAACACTCTATAAACAGGGACAAACAAGAAATTGCTTTCTTCTCTGTGGCATTACTTAAGAGGTAAAATGTGGCTTGCTTCCCCTGTCTGACCTCTCAACATTTCCCTCTGTATCTGACTCTGGCCTTTCATTATTTGGACCAATTAAGGAATCCTTTTACAATAATCCACACTGCCAGAGAAGATAGGAAACAAGGATGACCCTAAGAGAAGCATACTTAGTCCTCCTGAGAAGGGGAAAATGACATGATCTCCTGAGATAATTGGGAGCATGGGGAGGGGAGAGGGAGTTAGGAGAAAGAGAAGAGGAGAAGAGGAGAGCAGAAAAGGACATGGGGGAGCAGCAGGGTTGTGTAGGGGGAAGAATAGAGGAAAGGAAGAAACGAGATTCCATAAGGGAGCAATTGTAAGTTTACAGAGAATTCTGGCACTAGGGAAATGTCCAGAGATCTACAAGTTTGACCTCAACTAACAATCTAAGCAAGAGTGTAGAGGCTACCTTAAAAGACATTCCCTGATAATGAGATTAATGACTACCTTATAATCCATCCTAGAGCATTCATCCAGCAGCTGATCAAAGCAGAAGCAGACACCTATAGCTAAACACTCAGCTGAACTCCAGGAATTCAGTTGTAGAAAGGGAGGAGTGATGAGCAAAGTGGTCAAGACCTAGGCTGGAGTAACCCACAAAAACAGTTGATGTGAACAACAGGGAGCTCATGAACCCCAGACTGATAGCTGGGAAAACAGCATAGGACAGAACCATACCCCATGAATTTGGGAGGCCTGGGCAATCTATGGGGCCTCTGGTAGTGGATCAGTATATATCCCTAGTATACGAATAGACTCTGGGAGCCCATTCCACATAGAGGGATAGTCTCCCAGCCTAGACACATGGGGGAGGGTCTAGGCTCTGCTCCAAATGATATGACAGATATTAAAGATCCGCCAGGAAAGGCCTCATGGGAATAGGAGGTCAGTGGGGGGGCAGGGGAGGAGAGGAGGGAGCAGGAACTGAGATTAACATGTAAAACAAGCTTGTTTTTAATTTAAATTTTAAATGGGGGAAAAAGGAGAAAGTTGCACATTTAGTTTAACCTCCTATCATGCAGATACCATTTTTCTTTACTTAATAGATTAGGGTTGTTGTAACATTTTCTTTTACTATGTAGTAAAAAAGGTTCATGGGCTGAAGCCAAACTCACCTTCAGTGAAAATTGAAGAGAAACAATTGCTCACAGAATTTGCACACAGAATTGTAGAAGAAGAATGGGTCATGACATGTTAACTTGATGAATGATGGTGAAATGCCACTAGAGAATTAAACTTTAACCTTTGTGAGTTCAAAAGTTAAGAAAGAAAAAAAAAACCTTGACAGAGGTTGATATTTCAGCTTTTGTTCATCTTCACAATTAAAAAAAATTATCGATTGCTATTAGTTTGTTGAAATTATAGCATAAATTAATATTCTGTCATGTGCCTGACAATTTCTCACATAGCTTGGTCAAAAAACATTGCTGAAAATAACTTGAATTATGTATTCTATATTGAAATTGTATATTAAAGTGGGGAATTATTTATTTAACACTAAAGTAAGTTCAATTTGAACAATTTATACATTTTATAGGGCTATAAATTATACTACTTCTAGTAAGCACTTAATTGTGAGCACTATACTGAAGTGAAACAAAAATGTCTACTATGTTTATCATAACCTTTCCTAAATTATCTCTGAATGACTGGAAATATAATGGGTAAGTTTAGTAGGTTAAAGCTAAATTCCAGGTTATGTGTCTGTAAGGGGTAAAGTTATAAGGTCAGTAGTATATAATCAATATTGTTCTAAAACATTATCCACTAGGCTAGGCCAATAGCAACACATGTTGATTTGGGCTATTAGAAAGTCCTTATGGATGCGAAAAAATGTGTTAAGACTCAGAAGCCAGGCATGTTGGCATATGACTATCATCCAGCACTTGGGAAGTTGAAGCAGGAAAATCAAGAATTTGAAGCAGGCATGGACTACATGAGAGTTTTTCACAAAAAAATGAATTATAAAATGTTACAAGGAAAAATTATGTTACAACACTATCCCTCCCCAAATTGCTACACATTCCTACTTTTGTAAGAATAGTATATTGACAAGATGAGTGAAAGCATCAGAAATGTACCTTAGTAAACAAAGTATGTAGTAGAAATGCCAGAACAAAACCAAAATAAAATTAAATATAGAGTTATTAAAGTCTGTGTGGTGCTAGGCATTCACTTACAGTATTTTGGGAAGACCATATACAGGTATACAGAATAATGAGATTCCCTAAAGTCTAGTCAACATTTTGCTAGGCAGCAACCTGCTGATATTTCCACTATAGGCAATGTTCTTGGTTAAACTGTGTGGGGGGGTGAAAACCAGCTCAGTGGGACGGAGGGCATATAGCTTTACTACAGGTACAATACAGAACACAGATAAGCCAGCTTGAGACTTCTGAGCTGTTCTTCAGTTTGGTATGCATGCATTATACAGCTACTTCTGAAGAAAAAAAAGACTTTGGCAATTAAATTAATTAAACTAGGGTAAATACTGGAGGATATGGATTTGGATGTCAGACATCAGCTATAGCTGTAGCAGTAGTGCTTTTGGTAGTGACTGACACTAACAAATAAAATGGAAAAAAAAGACATTAACCAAACAAACCTGGCATAATGAGTATAAAAATTACCAAACCTACGAATTCACTCAAAGGAAGAAGAAAAGCTAATCTCTTCTTTGGTTGAAATTTTTTTCAAGGAATATTTCTACAGGGTGTGTCTAGATTATTAAAACAAAATCATAAAATGCTCAAGTTCTTCAATGACAGGACCATTATGTGAGAAAACAACTCCATTAATGCAATCTGATGGTATTCAGCATCTGTTGTCCTCTGGAGTACCATTTGTACAATGTTTTTGATGTGCAAGTACTGCTAGAGTATATCACTACCTAGTATGCTGACCACAATTTGTGTTTACTCCTATGTTGTAAGCCATGATATCGGTGAACAAGGCACTTTTCCATTACAAAAGTGAATTAGAAATAATGGAAGAAGCAAAAAGAACAAATTTGATTGTGTTTTTTGTGAAGCAAAAGGGGCATGACTTAGTAAAAGTAACTTTCGTGTGACAGTTGCTAAGCTTCTCAGTAAAAGTGAAAAATGGCCTACTAATATAATATTAAGGTAAAAAGCCTGAGTATATATGGACTGCTTTAAAAGAATATGTGTAAAACTGTCAGGATATAGTCCTGGGTGGAAAGTGAATCAGAGTTGCTACATATTGCAAACATTCAAGCCCAACCAACCTAAATTCCACTCCAACATTATGTAGTGATATACTGATGACAAAGATATCAGAATTGTGCCAGTCAGTCAACAGATACTTCAATTCTATAATAAAATTTGACAGCAGTCTCAGGTAATCAGGTTGGGACACTTTACATTTATTTGTTTTAATCCTTGTTGTTATGGTCTCCAAGGGTGAGGTTTAGGAGACACTTGATGTTTCAATTTGGGAAAATCTTCAGAATTGTCCACATGTGGAGGATGTGTGGTGGATTTTGCATGACGAAGAGCATTTCGTTTCCCAACACTCTTAGATGGTTTTGCAGCTATGTGACCAGGACCACGCTTAACATGCTCCAGTAGATGTTCACACTTTCCAACAGACAGGAAATGTTTCTCAAGTGTCAAGATATAGTCAATTGCATCTTGTACATTACAAGATGATCCACTCACAATGATGCTAGAATTACTGCAGCTTCCTTTTGAAGGTACACGGATGTCTACTTGGAATTGTTCCATGATTTTGTGGATGGATTTTCCACCAAATCCGATAATATTGGCACAAACCTGATGGTTCAGTGGGATTTCCTTGGAAACAGTTTTTTCAATCTTACGCAGCATTTTCATTATTGCATCTCGAGCTCCTAGGATATTGTCTTTAGAACCCGAAATGGTAATTTGATCTTGTGCTGGATTGACTCCTTTCTTTGGAAAATGAACAGTAACATTATATTCTGTGCAAATCTGGGAAATAAGTATACCTTTATTACCAAAGATCTTGGAATGATATTTGGGATCTAAACTGAATGTTTGCCTAAAATTTCTTAATGTCCGGTCATCCATTTCCATTTGTAAAGCTTTTACTTGTTTTTGCAATTTCATCTTGGCTTGTTCTACATTTGCTTCAAGGCCCATAATAGATATGATATGAAAATTTCCTCCAGGTTGTGATACCTGAATATGAACTTCAAATTCCTTTATTAGCTTGCGTAAGCCACTTCCTTTGTGCCCAATGATATATGGGTGTAGGTGAAAAGGTACTTGGACTTCAGCAGTGACAGGAACAAGAGACTCCTCAGCTTGCGTGGCCTCCTTGCAATTTTCTCCTTTGCCTGAGATAGACATGGTGTCACTTTTTTTTGCAGCAGTTGAAACTGGCTCTTTAGTGTTCTTACCCCCCTTTTCTTTCCCAGTTTCCTGAGCCTCTGAATGTGTGTTTGTAGTTGGTTTTTCTGTTTCTGGAAATTTGATTTGAACCTTACAATCTCTTGCAATTTGTTGAATTCTAGAGCATATTGGTCCCATGATAAAGGGATGGAATTTGGGGGGAACAATACACCGAGTTGTGATTTGGGAACCCAAGGGCTCAAATATCTCCTGAATATGTTTCTTTGCTGCTTCAACACAAGCTTTTGCTCCTTTAATTGTGACTTTTGTACTCTGTTTTCCTGCATATGTAAAGGTAATAAACACACCACCGTATTCCTTAATCATTTCTCTTAAAAGCTGTCCCTTTTGCATGACAAAATAACTATGGAATTTGGGATCGATCATTATGCTGTCCTCCACCACATTCTCCAGATCTTTCAGTAAAACCTCTACCTCTTTTTGCACATCTTTAACAGCCTCTTCTGTCCCTATGATGGTTACTGATTCTTGATCCTTGTTATTAAAGGTAGGGAAAATGATATGTGCCCCTGTCTTCTCACAGATTTTATGAAGGTTGCCACCATTTTTACTCATAAGAAATTGGTGATATTTTGACTGTACAGGGACATCCACGGAGTAACTCTTTGTCTGTTCTTCTTCTGCAAGTTGCAGAAGTTTTTTCTTAACCTTTTCAACACTTTCTGCAGGGCCTCTAATAAGGACTTTTTGAAGGCCCAAGTTGGTACTTGGAAAATGAATATGTACTTTGCCACATTCTTCCATGATTGAAGTAATCAAAGATTCTTTAGAATCAGTTAGGGATGTGTGTAGACTAGGAGGAATAGAAATTTCCACTTCAGAAACTTTGACTGCATTTTTATGCATCGAGAGAATCCAGTTGCGAGTTACTTCACGGTTTTCTGGCTTCCCAACAGTGATGTTATTCTCTGAGTTGCAGCTTGATGATGGAAAGTTTACTCTTCCTCTTGAATATAGGTTGGTAGCATGATTTCCCCTTTGCAAAGACCTATTTGGATATACAATGTATTGTCTTTTGGAAGTCATTGTTGGTTTTCAAGTACATGCAATCCAGATGTGTTGCAGATCATTCAGCAGCAGCCCCAAGACTAAAAAACCACTTATAGTTGTCTTTTAGCATATTACTGTATGAGAAAAAGAAATACTTTCAGGACATAATTTGTTTCAAAAGTAATCCATAGGATAAAGACAATAAAATGATTATCAGATTCATTTACTTTCCTGAGAATACATTAGAGTTTCGGGTATTTACCTATCCTTATATGAGCACAAGGTAAGTTCAAATTATAAGAACTGTATGGAAATAACCAAGTTATTTTCAAAAGGAAGTTCATCTTTCAAGTATTCTTATGGCTTTCATAAACAACTCTGATTGCTCCAAACCCAGAGTCAATATTTTTTCGACTGTACCAGCTGTTGTTTCAAAATAATTATTGCACAAATATAGCTATCTACATCGCTAAAACCACTACATTTACCAGTGCTTGCTCTTTTCAGTAACAATTTTTAGAATACATATCTAAGAATTGCAAGGAACTGTCTGGGTCATCAAATAAAAAGACATGAAACCATTATGGGGACTCATTGTGAAAGGAGATATTGGGAGAAGTGGGAGGAGTGAAGAGTGTAGCAAGGAAAGATTATAACAAAATAATTTTTACATTTATGAAAACATTATTATGAAATACAGAATTTATAATTAACATATGCTGATAAAAGTAGAAAACTTTATGCATTCTATGTGTTCTATTCATGGAATCTGAGAAAATTTAGGGTTTAAAGTAATATCTTAACTCCTCTGGAAAAAGTTTCCATTACCTACATGGATCCCCCATGCTCATTTAAAGGAAACTCCCATTTCTACCACCATATAGAGGCAAAGCATATATATTTTTTTCTTTTTAAAAATATTTTAATTGAAATTTTTAAAAAAATATTATTTTACATACTAACCCCAGTTCCTTCTCCCTCCCTCTACTCCCACTATTCCCTCCATCCACTCCTCAGAGAGGGTGAGGCCTCCAATGAGAAAATCATCAAAGTCTATCACATCATTTGGAGCAGGTTGGAGGCCCTCTCCCCTGTATCTAGGCTCAGAGAATATCCCTCTATAGGTAATGGGCCCCCAAAGCCCATTTGTTCACTATGGATAAATACTGCTTCCACTGCCAGTAACCTCATAGAATGTCCAAATGTACCAACTGACACTCATATATATGGGGTCTACTTCAGTCTTATGCAGGTTCCCCAGCTATCAGTCTGGAGTCTGAAAT